TCTCCTATTGAAACTCTTTGAACTTATGCTAAACAATCTCAATCTAATGAACATGCTCCAAGTAAAATTCGAATGGTAAGTAACATGAATATAAGAGATAAATTTAATAAATCTATGTGTGCTTCTCTTTGGACCAAAATTTGGAGTCCGACTAGGCTTCCAAAGCTGATCACATCGGTCCAACTGTCCAATGACTATGGCGTTAGGAGGTGAAGGAACAACGCATAATCCGGGTCTGCGTAGTCTACTAAAAAGTTTGTGATTTTCACTTTTCTGTTTCAGATGTAAGTGTCCGGGGCTGTGTAGTTTAAACTTTAATGTATTACTGCCTCAGCTTATAAGGAGGCATTGAGGGTTTACAAAGTTCCCTGGATCATTAGCTGTAGAAGTGGCATGGATTTTTTTTTTCTTTCTATGAAATTTTGCTATTATTTTAATCAACTTATTAGTTGATATCTTTCAAGTTGTTTTGTCTTAGAAAGCTAATGCAGGAAGATTTCTGCTCGCCACCCATAGTATCTGTTGTTTGAATTACTGTGATATTTTTTTATTTTTACTTTGTTTGCTAAGTTCTCTCCTTTGAAAGATTCATTGCGTGGTTTGTTACACTGGTTTCGCTAAACAGGTTGTAGCCTTGAAGGATGATGGATGCCCAAGAGTTTGGGTTGTTACGTCTGATCGTTGTCAGCAGCAAGCGGCACATGGAGCAGTATGTGCTTTTCTCATGAATGTCACCTCTGTGATAGATCATGATGTGTATGAGTATTGTTGGTTGCTTGTAAATTTTGTTAAGAAAGTTTTTGCTTACAAAGACGGCTTATCTATTATTGCAACTTGTTTTATACTTGTATGGTAATGGTGGGGTTACCGGTTGTTTTGGGGATGATAGACGGTGTTGAGAGCTTCCCCTTTTCACAGATTCCAACAATGACCAAACATTTAGAAGGTAATTGAGGATTGATGATTTGTGGTCAGATGGTTGTTTCGAAAAAAGGAAGTTTCTCTACCGTGGTTCTATGGTCCTGATTGCTGGATGATTCAGTTATTGACTCAGAGTTTTATTCCTTCCTATGAACTGATTAAATTTGAAACTTACAAGCTCTAGTCTGCTCATTTATCTGTCCAATTTCAGCTTAAATGAAATCCAGCTTCATGATATGCTACTTCCTAATTTTGCTTACTACTCTATCCATGCATTCGGTGATCTCATTTGCTCTTTTTCCACCTAAATTGTAATGAATCCTACTCTCTCAAAAATTCGAAGGCCGAAACCAGTCCATGATGTCAGTTATGAAATCACATCTTTTATCGTTTTTCGTATCAGAGGCTGTAGTTGCTGCTCCTAAATATTATATTTTTACAATTGTCTGTTTGACACTTATCCATAGTGTTTCTGAATTTCTTGTTGTGTTGTGGGATGACGATACATGTGTAGTTCTTGTGCGGTTTTAGTTTTGCCTGCTGTGAACAGTCAGATGGATGTGTTGAGATCTCACTATAGAATGTCCACACAACTCACTATTTCAACATCAATCCAATACCTTAGTTGAATTGTTTTCTATCTAGGTCCTGATGTTAGTTTAACTGTTTTTACTATGCCAGGGAGCCTTTGTTTGGAGTTGCAAGGCATTGGTTTCTGAGGTAAAGGTCATACAAATTTTCGAGCTCTTCATGTTATTGTGTTAGAATAATCTAGCATATTAGCAGTAGGGTAGATTAGTCATTTATGTTACTATGTTTTGCCCTAGTATATAAGACTATTATTGTGTAGTTTTTCTTCTCAATGAGTCTGTAAAACTATTCTTAATGAATATGTTTCTCCTCTTTCATTGATAAATATTAACATGGTATCAGAGCATGTTATGATCCCTAAACCCAAATAATAATAAATGATTGAAGTCCAAAAGAAGAGTACTGACGATAAATAGCCGCTAATGTCATCATCGCCGGTGATGACGTCATTAGTCTCCAACTGTGAAGACCACCATCATGATTGACTCTTCATGCTCTTCTCATTGGTGTGCTTCTCTTGTTGTTTCGAGTTCATCTGGCAAGAGTTCTATTTTTTAAATATTTTGGAAAAATACGTATAAATTTTTCGATCTGTTATATCTGGTACTTTCTACAAGGAAGAGGGGACCACATAATTAGACAATGAAATGAAGGAATCACAGAGAAAACGCTAGATGACCACATGTATAAATAGAATACAGATGCACCGTATAAGAGAGTTCCAGAAAATTGTATTCACAAGACACCATGTACAAAGGCTCTAAAGCCTAGAAACTCACTGTAATCTTCTTCTTCAAGCAATATAAACCCCAAGAAGTATGAGTCTCTATTGCAGTGGATGTAACCTTGGTTTTTTTGGCTAAGGTGAACCACTTACATCTTGTTTTTAATCCCTCATCATCTCCTATTTCCTTACTAATCTAAATATTCACACTACCCTCTACTGGGTCTTGCACAATCGCTGTTCTACACTTGGGCTAAGTAATTTCGAGCACCATCAAACATATTTTTTTACAAGTTACATCAGAATGTAAAATAACTCAAAAAGCATGGAAAGTTTATACCAAGAAAAATAATTTGAATATAAGTAGGACACTATCAACAAATTTTTGAAACTTCATTGGCCTAGGAGGTTGATTTTGTGAGACAAATTCAGTGACATCCCTAACAGCTAGGTCCAATTCTAATAACATCCCTTATATTTGTTAGGAGTAACATCAAAACTGACATCCAAGTTTAGATTAATAAGATTTTGTTCAATTATAACACATATCCTTGTATGAGTGTATATTTGAATAGTCCCAAAGAAGTTGTCCGGATGACAATATATATATTAATGAAAGAAGAATTGATTGACCAATGAGTGGTTCACCTAGTAGGTAAGAACTCGAATTTTCTTACTCAATTTCTTGGGTTCAAGTCTCCATAGCTACGATAGCTCGTTAGGGCTAAACCTACTATTTAGCTCCCAGAACATGTGTTGTAATACGTAGGTATAGTGAAGTCCCCTACAGATAACTATGTGATACTAAATGATATTGCCCTATACCGAATATTTAGAGTAGTGTATCTGTATATTCATTATTTTGTATCGAAAAGAAAAAATGAATGATTGCTTAAAAATAAAGAATCAAAGAGTGTCAGTCATGCAAATGATTCACTCACATTTCTTGTCATAGCTACTATAACTAGAGTTGATTCAGAGCTTATATTATCTTCTCTCGGGAGCATATACTCCTTTGTTTTAGGGCTTTAATGCATCCAACCATCCTGTGGAAAAAATGATTTTAAACAAAGTATTTTGAGCAATTTAAGGCTTAAATAAAAGCGGAATCTTCAATTCAAAATTGGTGGAACCAAGTTCAAACACATTCTCCTCCGCGAGGAGATGAACGTTGTATATTTATTTGTTTAAAACCATTAAGTATTGAATGAGAAATTATGTCTTAAAGTGATCTATTCAAAGTGACAAAATAACTAAGATTGATGAAATGGAATAAGGTTTATCTCACATTGGAAAAAGATCAACACTTAGTGAGTTAATATACTTCTAGTTGACTTCATGGGTTGAGAAGTACCACACTTTTGTGAGCAGAGCAAGTCCCTACACTGCTTTGGTTACCATTCTCCCCGACGGGGCTGGACTTAGGCTTGGATCAAAAAAATATAATCCTTTTTGACAAAGTTTATTTGGTGTGGTGCATGTTATGGGTCAAACCAAACATATCTAAACGCGGATTGTATTCCAACTAAAATTTCAAAGTCCAACCAGATTTTAAATTTTTTCTACCCTTTAAATTGATTTTGGTGCGAGAGTTTGTTCTTCAGATGTTTCTCCTGTGTCTGTTTAATACAAAGGTGCCTTTTCTTTTTGTATCTATTCAAATTGAAGGTGCATCTCTTCGATCCAAACAGGGGCTTCTTGTGACTCTTCAGGTGATCCGAACAAGCATGAAGGGTCTATAAATAGACTACCTCAATGCCATTCTCAATCCAGTCTAATTTGAATTCAATATTTAGAGTTTCTTCTCTCTTTACATATTGCTGCATTAGTATTTTTTATTCGATTCAAGTATAAACACAAAGTTGTGTTCGCTGAAAACTTGAAGATTGAAGTGTTGTATCTTCAAGAATGAAATTCATTATATCTTGGAAGACAGTTACTTATCAACTTTAAGCACTGAGAGGGAACAAATCTGTCTTAAGAAAACTATAATTACACAAGACTCAGATTATTATCATTTTCTGGTTTCTGAATTTTTTTCGTGCAGTTCTGCGTTACAGTAAGTGCATTACTGTTTCTGTTTTAACATTATCTTTTATTAAATTAGTTTACATATAACAATATACTTAGTGATTTAAACTTTTGATTAATTCTAATTATATAAGTACTTTGCATAACATGTGTTCCATCTCTTTTTGTTCGACCATTTGTTCTTTTTGTGTCATTTTAGCTTAAACTTACCAATTTGAACTTGGATGATCCAATGAAAGACATTAGTTTCAAATTGCTAATGAAAATCTCCGTATCCAACCACGCAATGTGCACCTGATCAATCTGCTAGTAATTGTTAATCGTCACTTCAGACTTAGTCATTTGAAGTTAAATTAGAAATTGTGCGAATTAAACTGACAATTGAAGAAAAGAGGACCAAATTGATTCAAAAGACATTTTAAGGGAACCATTATTCTATTTTGGCCTCGAAGCAATAATGCCATCTTGTGTTGCAAATTACTACAAAAGAAGCACATCAAAGGAAATACAGCTTTCTCTCCCGGCCTCCAGAGGACATGAGGTAACCTTCTGAATGCCGGATAAAGATTCTCTCTAATATACTTTTTCTACAATTTCACTTAATAATAGATCACTCATCATATATTGATGTGGGATAAATGAATTCCATTTGAATATATGGAAAATATCTATCATTGAACGGAATTGAAAAAAAAATATAATAGATTTCATCTTAATCACGGAACATGATAAATCATATCATCTCAACTTGACCCGTAGTCACCGGCACTTCAATGTCGTTGCAATTCGAAAACTTCGAACTCTCGAGCCTCTCACCTTGGCCCCAAATAGCATAAGCCTCCTCTCCATGAGCAGCCTCATCACCAATAGCCATATCCTCTTCAGACATCCTTAAAGGGACAATGAGTTGGATAAACAAACATATCAAGCTTGTGCTCACAACGTTAAGCACAACCACAAACAGAATTCCTAGAAGCTGAAGCCCTATCTGTCTAAATCCCGTGCGGAAATCTCCCATGTGAAAGCCGTAGAAGAGGCCAACGTACTGCTTGTAGTCGGCATAGAATAACATACATAGCCTAGGGTGAGCGAAGAGGCCAGTAAGGATGCCCCCAAGGCTTCCGGCGATGGCGTGAGTGTGTAGAACGGCCATCGTGTCGTCAACTTTCTGAAGGAGCTCGGATTTTTGTGCACAACCATCATGGTGAACCAGGGGATGGAGCCTGAACAAATTCCCATTATTATGGCTGCCCATCCTTGCACAACCCCTAAAATTCAAGTGCAACAGCATCGTGTTAGATATTTAGTGCACAACAATCGTATCGTATGTGTCAATTTTGCTAGGCATTTAGAATTTACATTTTTTCCCAAGAATTTCATGGACTAAACACACCTTTCGCGGCCAAAAAGTTTATGATAATTTACAATTTACACTCTTGTCACACGCATATAGTTTCTATTTGGTCTCTAAATTGCTTTAATTAAGTTTAATTTAATCCTTACTTTCAAAATCTTTAATTTGTTTTGACGAAAAGCATTCGTGTAACCAACATAATTTGGGTAGAAGTATATATTTGCCTAACAAAAAAAATTTTGTGTTCGGATCATAAAATCTTATTTTGTTTCATATGGTTCATAAATAAAGAATATTAGCACCTATCTTGTGTCATGAACAGAATTTAAAATCGCTTTCCACACCCACCCCTAACCCCACTTCCTACCCCTACCCCCACTCCCCTATGTGTGATTAAGTATTTCACAAAAGTATTTTTGCCTTTATTTGCAATCAATATTAATAAGTATAAATGAACAATTAGAGATTAAAAAAATGAGTTATATTAAAAGTGGGGAGTTTTAGTGTTATTCTCCATATTTACAAAAAATGTTGATACCAATAGATGAACAATTTGAGATAAATAATAGTTATATTAAAAGTGAAAGTTTTTAAAAGTAGTTGGTATAAGGTGGTGTTTTAAAGTGAGGATCTATTATTAATTAAAACTAAAATATGAGTCAATTAAACTAACGTGATGTTTTGAGAATGTGTTAATTGGAATAAAAATTTTGAATTTGTATTAAATAATTTAAAATTCTAAAATTTAAAAGTTAAAGAGGAAAGACTTCAAACCTCCTCTCAAAGAAAATGATTATTATAGAAACTAGCAATGCATCGCATGCCTAAATAAATTTAAATAATATTTTTTTATAGAAAAAAATAAACAAAGAGAGAGAGAGTCAATTAACACTTTAAAGATTTAACTATTGAAGGTGCAACCTCAAGAAGCAAATAATTCTTTATTGCATACTTTAAGAATATAAATTATAAATCTACCCAAAAATTTAATATCCATATGTGTAGGGTTAGCGGCAGAAATTTGAGGGTTTCCGAAGGTACCAGCTGCCGGAGTGATGCAAACCAAACCAGTGATCATGCCTTGGACAGCACCAATGATTGAAGCCTTTCCGAAGAACACAACGTCGAGAATGAGCCATGTCAACAGGCTAGTGGCGGCGCAGACGTGAGTGTTCAAGACGGCCAAGGAAGCGTCGATGTTGGCCGCATAAGGGTCTCCGCCATTGAACCCCGACCAACCCATCCACAGCAACCCTGCCCCGGCCATCATCAGTAGGATGTTGTTTGGAGGGAACCTTTCCCTGTCCTTGTTTGAACGAGGACCAACCTGCAATGAGAAAATGATAATTCATGTGTCCATTTC